TGCGAAGTGCCCCACTTGGGAAGGAACAATCCGTGTCACACACACAGAACGGGACGCAACTGTCTAGGGATCTGGGGTCAGAGTGGACCACAAGCTGAATGAGTCGGCAGTGTGATGCTATTATAAACAAAGCCAACATGATCCTGGGATGCATCAACAAGAGTGTTGTGAGCAAGACACGAGGAGTCATTCTTCCGCTCTACTCTGCGCTGGTTAAGCCTCAGTTGGAGTCTTGTGTCCAGTTCTGGGCACCGCATTTCAGGAAAGATGTGGAGAAACTGGAGAAGGTCCAGAGAAGAGCAACGAGAATGATGAAAGGTCTAGAGAACATGACCTATGAGGGAAGGCTGAAAGAATTGGGTTTGTTTAGTTTAGAAAAGAGAAGACTGAGAGGGAACATGAGAGCCGTTTTCAGGTATCTAAAAGGGAGTCACAAGGAGGAGGGAGAAAACTTGTTCATCTTTGCCTCTGAGGATAGAACAAGAAGCAAGGGGCTTAAACTGCAGCAAGGGAGGTTTAGGTTGGACATTAGGAAAAAGTTCCTAACTGTCAGGGTAGTCAAACACGGGAATAAGTTGCCCAGGGAGGTTGTGGAATCTCCATCTCTGGAGATATTTAAGAGCAGGTTGGATAAATGTCTATCAGGGATGGTCTAGACAGTATTTGGTCCTGCCATGAGGGCAGGGGACTGGACTCGATGACTCTCGAGGTCCCTTCCAGTCCTAGTATTCTATGATTTTGGAAGTGCATTAAACTAAACTCTTTAAATTCACACCCCATCTTATTCCAGACTCACATTCACATGTAAACCAAATTCCTAAAGGAGACCAAATCCTCGACACTTAGCAAACGCAGAAACAGAATTTCGTAACATCCGAGCCCAACCCACGACCAGCTTGGAGGAAATGGAAGCCGCTGGGCGACTCCCTAAAGGACTAATCAGCCCTGAAAGTTCCTCTGGGCGGGCAGTGACTCAAATTGCAGCACCGTCCGTTTCTGCGCAGCCGGGACTCAGACCCTTCGCAGAGCAGCCGTGCACGGAGACACTCAGGAAGAGCGATTCTGGAATAACCCGCCATGCAGACACGCTCCTCGGGGAGGGCTGCATTGGAGAGCTGATGCTGGAGGCATCTGTGCAGCAGCCACCCCGGCTCTCAAACTGGCTGTCGGGGCCTGTGGCGATGGTGGGGAGGAAGGGACGAGACTGAGACCAGAGGACCCCTTGCTGGCTCCGATGCCCCCAGCGAATGCGCCTGGCTCCCCTCGCCCTGCTGTGAAGAAAGGTCTCAGACAGCAGCTGGCACCGGGCTGGTGGTTTCTGCTGAGGCGGGCTCAGCTCGGTGGGTTTCACTGTTGTGTGTTTAACAGTCACTAAATCTCTCGCCTTCTCGCCAAGGACTTCCCTGTCCTGGGGCGGGCGCGGTGCTGCCCTTGCACGCTCCTGGTGCTAAGGACGCTGAGGTGCAGGGGTGAGCCCTGTGCCAAGCCCAAGTGGGGGTGAATTCATTCCCCTCCAGGTTAGCTGGCTGCGGCGGATACTTCTGGAACGTCGACCCCTCTGGTCACCTGCGAGTGGAACCGAACCTGGGACCGGCCACCGCAGGGCCCTTCTGAGGGCGGGGGAGGGGGTGCACTGTGCTCCAGGTGCCACCCAGGGCTGTGGGGGGACAGATGTGGCACGCCCGCTTCTTCCGCCTGAGGCCCCGCCCTTTTCGAGTGCACAGCTGCCCCCCCACTTTGCCCAGGGGCCCAGCCTGGCTGCCGGCTCCAGACCCCACCCAGGAGGTGTGTGGGTTACACTTGCTCTCCCCTAAACCCTGTGCTGGCGCAGCGCAGCCGCTAAGCAGCAGGCACGTTCCACCCCAGCACAAGTCGCATCTCCACGGGGAGCAATGTGCCAGCAAAGGTGGAACAGCAGGTTGGGATCATGTGTCTGTGCTGGCCCCTTGGTGCCTAGCGGTGAGAGAGCAAATCAGGTTGCAAGTGAAAACGCTACAGAGAGCGGACAGGGAAATTGGAGCAGCCAGCAACACAGCTAAGCTTTACGCCCCTGCCCTCCTGTGGGCACCTGGCTGGGGTGATAGTGGCCAGGCTGCCTCCGGGATTCGGGGGGGTGGGGGTGTGCTGGGAACTTAGGGTTTAGAAATCCATTTTTAGCAGCACAAACTCACACTCAGACACTGACCCAGGCATGGGTGCAAGTAGGGGGAAGCAAGGTCCATTTGGGAACTGGCTCCCTTTACTGCACTCTGCACACACACACACACACACACACACCTGCTGAGTTTGACCGCATAGTCAGTGAATATGCAAACCAGCACGATACATCACGACCATGGAGGCTTCCCGGCTGGAGTTGTAGGCCCAGGTGACCATACACCCCACTTTGGAAAAGGACCGCAGAGTGAGGGGGGTGCACAGGGAGCCCGATCTCCAGCCCCGGCACTCTGGGGGTAATGGGTCCCCAGTGAGAACCGGGCCCCAGCTGACAGCCTGGCTAACTGAGACACACTGTTCCCCTCTCCAGGCAAGTTTCCCCAAGTCCCTGCCCCAGGGTGAGTGGAAGAGCCAGGAGAGGAGAAAAGCCAGCCAGAGAGAGAGGGGCTCCAGGAAAGAGACAAGGGGAGGGAAGATGCTGGGGGAGGGGGAGGGGCACCAGCGAGGGATATTTGGCTATAGGGGA